ATTCACATCCAAATATAGCTTAGACACATAGGAAGAAGGCAATTTTAATACAAAGATAATTTCTAGAAGAACACTGTTTGAGTTTTATTGACTAGTTAGAAAGATAAACTAAACAGCCAGCTTATCCTGGAAAGCATCAGATGCTTTTTCACAAATGACTGATCTGCTTAGTGAGACACAAGGCTGGACTCAGAACATCTATACTGCATGCACCCTCTGGGTCTGAACTTGGGGCTTGACCCAAGAGATTTACCACTGCTGTGTACTCATTTGGATGATTTACTTCCTCCTTGTCTCTGTTCTTTTAAGACCTAACACTAGCTGTATTAACACTTCTTCCTAATTTCGTCTAGATGGCTCAACTTTGAACTGGAACAGAGCAGAGGAGACTTGCTTGCATAGCAACCCCCAACCTTTACCCATACGGCAACAATTAACAGCAACTTCTGTCACCGCCTCTTTGCACTGAATAGAGATCTCTGAGCAAACAGACCCTTGCACACTAGCCCCAGGAACCCTGGGAGGCTGCAGAATCATCAGTAGGAAAACCCACAGTCCAGAGTCTGACATAAACTGTGTGTCCTGATGGTAAGTTACATCACAAGCCCAACTGAAGTTTGAACAAAGTGCAGCTACAGGCAACCCCTCAGTTCTCTTTCCAGATCAGATAATGACTTGTTTGTGATTTTGAACACTTCTGTTTGTTTGGTTTGCATTCCTTCTGAGACCCTCTTTGTCTGACCTGCAGGTACTCCCAAAAGATCTATCTGGACCAGGATATTTCTCACTGCAAGTCCTACATCAGCAATTTAGTGCATCAGAGAGCTTCTTATTAAATTCAAAGTTGCCCCTCTATTGGAGTCCTATGGCATGTACTTGAGAACATCACTGGCATATCAAAACCATTTTTTCTCCCAGTGGATTCAAGATGATGTTGCAGGGTGCTGTTTAAAACATCCCGCTTGCAATATGAATGGTCCAGCACTACTTCTTGTCTATGCCCACATCTCTAAGACCTGCAGTCACTGCAATCCTTGCTGCTGATAAAAGTGCAATGATGACTCACAGTCCTAGAACTATATGGGATCATGCCCAGTCAAACCCTGGTCTTTCTGCTGTACAAATGCACTCTGTATGTTTACACCATGCTTGGAGCATTTTTATATAGTTCTGTGTCATATTGCAAAGTTTTAAAGTCGTCCGGGACCACAGAAAACCTCTGGAGAAACAAAACAAAAAGCAGAGGTGGGAGGTAGAAAAGTAAGAAAAATTACTAACAGTAGTCTGTGAACTTCATGAACCCATTACAGAAACCTCAGATTCAAAATGCAGAACAGAGTTAAGTTCCAGCACCCATTACTCACCCTGCTTTTGCAACATGAGTAAGTCATAAGCAAAATAAGATACTGCTCTGCATGAGACATTCACGGTTCAGTATAACCTGGACCACACTGCGCGAGGGATTTTCTGTCCCTAAAGCAAAGAAGAAAATTGAGTGAAAAAGAAAGCAGAAAAAGATGACAATGTGAAAGATCTAGGTCAGAAGGACAAGATATGAGTTGCAGTTACATATATATACTCTGAACTCTGCTTTCAGAGTAGATACACGTCTTCTTGTTGTCAGGCATTTACCATGGGGCAGATGATTTTGCTGGACATTAAGTACCTTCAATTTTTTTTAGGGGGGGACAAGAGGTATCAGATATTTTTTATCATCTTTAAAATTACTGGAATTTCTTTCCAAATTTTCTCTAGTTCCAGCTTAGTTTTGTCCAAGATTTTAAGTGTACCCTACCCGATGTGTGGGCTAGGCAGGCTTTAGAAATGGAAAAGAAACAAATTAAGAAATTGCCTCTTGCTTTTTCATTCTCTCCTTACTTTCTCAATCTTTCAGTGTTGCACATAGATTCCAAGTTGCATCCCCACTGAGAAATGCAGGGCATGGTAAATAAGGGGTAGTCTGGTCAAATGACAAACTCTGAATGCTGTCTGCACAGGCTCCTCCTGTCCCATCCCACCACCAGCCATTCCATTGCAAGTCCCACATTTCCTATCTTCGTTCTGTGCTCTCCAAGCACCCTCTCCTTTCCCTTTTCCTCTTTCACTCACTTCTTTTCTCCTGTATACACAAAGACTTACCTCTGCACTATCATACTCAATCTCTCAATAAAAAAGTGACCTTTTGAATAAAAAATAAAAAGTTAAGTAACTGCGAGTAATGACAAAGAAGGAGGCTGGACTTCAAGAACAATGCACCAAGAAAGCAAAAATGTCTATACTGGGCTAATGTAATCTCTCTGTGGTGGCCAAAAGTGAATAATTATGAAAAAAAATAAAGAAGTGAAAATACATAGGAGACTAACCTGTTAAGTTCTTAAAATTTCCTTCAATTAGTAGTTTGGGGATTTCCCGTGTGGCAGCTGGCATCCAGACTACCATACTGCATTATCCATACATAAATTTCCTCGATTAATTTTTCATTGCCCTCTCATTTTGTATTTGTGAGAAACAGTAATTAGTGACTCCTGTTACGGAACTAATACGCGATGCTTCCACCAGCACCCTGTATGACTGCTGATGTGCCACATCCAATCCATACAGCCGTAAAGTTTGTTTCACATCCAATCAGCAGTCGCAAGCTGGTATTTTCTTCCACAATAAAACCAAAACAACTACCATTATATCACATCTGTTTTCTAGCTTCCAGCAGATGTATAAGGGCAGCTCTGGAACCATCCACATTTCTCAAAATACCTCTTCCAGTTCATTACTCTGTAGTGTCGATGGCCATGTAGTGCAAATTAACTCATATGTTTTTGGATGTAAGCCTGACGGTGAATGCCAGCTCCTGATTTTCCACAGCCCAGACTACACACATTCACAAATGGTTGTAATGCTTATGATAATGCTTTTTAAATTACAAGTCTTAAAAGAATGTTAATGTTGCCTTAAGAATATCAGATGAACAAGGTAATCACTGTAGTAATTTCAGTCTGCTTTTCAAGAGTTACTGGACAACATGTGATACATTGATATGCAGAACAGAGCTTTTATGATACTCAGGAAACACAATTTTCAAGAAATTTCAACAAATCTGAATAAAAACCCGTCAGGGTTATCTCAGATTTTGTTGGCAGTTTTTCCAGAATTTGTGTCATTTCTGCAGCTGCATATCATAGGGTTTTCAGAATGGGTTGATTCAGACACACCCAAGTATTCTTGTAAGGCTCTGTTATTTACAAGCCACTCTGTTAAAATGGGCAGTTATGATTTGGCTATACTCATTACTTTGCTTTCATTGTTTTCACATACTTTCCCATATCTTTGTCTTGATACTGCTGGGCTTCCTAGCAACATGAAGAAACCTAAGACTTGCTCCTTCAAAGAATTCATAGTCCCAACCCAAAGAGTCCCACTGACCAAAGTGAATTTTGGTTTAGGTTAAACACGCAGAACATCATCAAGAGCAACAGCAAAATCTAAACCTGAATATAGCTGAATTTCTCTATCCTTGCAATTTTCTGCAGCAAGGCTTCCTTTATAGTGGCTGAAATTCTGACTTCACTAAGATCGCTGACCAACTTTCTGTAGAAGATTTCACAGATACGATTTCACTGGCACATGCACCTTACAAGTTAGATCACCTATGCTGTTATTTCTAATTTGAGAACCAGCTGCCAAGACAATTATCAGAATGTTTATTCCTTAAAAATAACTATCAAAAGAAAGATATGAGGGGTCGAGAATACTGAATATATAAACTCAAAAGCTTAAGCAGTCATTTCCAATTTTCTTATATCTGATGCAATTTTCCTAATGGTTGTGGCATAGTTCTAAATTACTAACAGGGCATTTGTCTTTTTCATTTATTTTCTTTCCCTCTTTTTCCTTTAAATTTGCAGCTGCAAATCAATGCAAACTCATTCAGCAATTACCCAGGAGAAAACTCCTATTTTATAAAATGAACATGGTGCTTTCGGGACCTCTCTGAAAACTTTTAACAATGTTACACCCTTGGGCCTTTCTGTCCTTCAATCCCTAGCTTGAAAGCTTGCATTCTCACTAGCTGTCCCTTTTTAAGTATGCTTTTGTAAAACTGCACTGAAGTGAAAAATGTTCATTAAGAACTTTGGTTTGTTATTTTAAATAGCAAAGGTAGCTCTCCTGCCTCAATCCTGGCATCTTATGGATTTTTATTTTTTTTAAAATTTTGCCAAAAAATAGCAATAAAATAGACCAATTACCAGTTACAGCCAACAAACTGATTACATTATTACTAGATAACATCATCTCTTTGGAATTAGGCTGCTAGCTGAGGTCTTATTATAGTAGTGAATTCACACTGCCACAGTTAGCAATGTCAGCATTTCAATTATAGTAGTCTCTTCCTCCTCCTCCTCCTTTCGTTTCTCAAGGACTGAAATTTGGACTTAAAAATGAACTTAAGGTTGAAGCACTGACAACATAATCCATGTCCCTAAATCCATGGCTTATCATTCTAGCACATTTTTGACAAGTAGATTTAGAGTACTTTTAAGTACAGGCCCAGTCAAGCCTTCATCCTATATCCAAAACTTGAGCCTGTATGCAGAGAACGTAGCACTCATTATCATTATCTTCGTGGCCTGAGTTTCTTAATAAATGAGCTTTTAATAATATCTTCATTTTAGGGAGCCTCTGCTTTTAAAACTGTGCATCCAGCCAACAGTGTGGACTGGGAGATGTGTATTGCCACAGCTTCACATCAAAATTCTGTTTCAGAACAGGGATGTCATGCTCTAAGCATGTTTCTCAAAAGCACTGCTGGTGTTGAGCTACGCAGTGTAATGGACCTGAAAAGGCTCCACCTGGGAGCTCTGAGCAGAAGCGGGAGACCTGTTGCAGGCTTGCCTGTGAAGGCATCTGCCATACGTTCTGGCTCGGACGTGCCAGGAGAACTCCATGGAAACCGCAGGCAGCTAAAACCCTGCAGCCTGTTTCCCGAGCGGAGCAGAGCATACCGGTGATGACACCGACGCTGCCCTGCACGTGGGACTCCGGGTCCCTGTCCTCGTCTGCGCCCCGCGTCCCCTCCCCGCCTCGCCGTTCAGCGGGCTCCGGGCTGTTGTTTGCCTTTGTCCGGGTGCAGGCGGGCGGCTCTTCCCGCAGGCACAGGCCGGGCACAGCTCCGGGGGCAGCGCGGGGCACAGCGCCGGGGCCGCGCTTGGGGCCACGGCCGGGGGTCGGCCCGGCCCGGCCCGCCCGCCCGCACCAGCCCCGGCCCCGGAGCGCAGCCCCGGGGCAGGGGCACGAGGCGCGGCCACCCCCTCCCGGGCCCGACGGTCACTTACGTTGGGGGCGGGCGCCGCCGGGAGCGCTGCCGGCCGCGGGCACCGACCCCGGCCCGCCTCCGACAGGGGTGCCGGCCCGGCCGGGAGGGGGGCGGCCTCCCGCTCGGTGTCTGAAGGGTGAATATTTGCCGGAAAACCGGGGCGTTTATTCCACTTGGCAGAAGCGGAGGGGGGCCCGGGGAGATGGGGAGCATGTGTGCGAGGGGTGGCCCGCGGTGCCTGGGGAAGGGGGCGAGGGGCGGCCGCGACGTGCCCAGTTCCCGCTCGACTGGCGGATCCGCTACCCGGCGGCTGCCGCGGGCCGCCGTGAGTCACCCCCGGCCGCGGCAGCGTCAGCCTCGCCGCGGCGTTGGCAGCCAGACGAGCCGCGGCGCGGAGCCTCTGCTGTCCTCGGATGAACCCGGCGGGGCTGCCAGCGCCAGCCGAGTGCGCGCAAGGCGAGAGCCGAGGCTGTGCCGGCGCGGCGGCGTGCGACACCCCTGCGGCGGGGATGGCAGAGACGGGGCGGGGGGCGGGAGCGGGGGGGGGCAGCCCCTCGGCGGCCGGGCCGGAAAGGTAAGAGTGGGACAACAAAGGTGCGGCGGGGGCACGGTCACTCAAAGGGCACGGCGCGGGGGCGAGGCTGCCCCACGGGCCGCCCGTTCCCGAGGATGGGGCTGCGGCGGCCCGGGGCGCGGGGAGGAGGCGGAGGGGGGCTGTGGGGGTCGAGAGTCCCTGGGCGCCAGGCAGGGTGCAGATCGTTCCCGACAGCAGGGATGCTCGTCGGTGAGAATGGCAAACCCCACCCGGGCCCTGCCCTGTTAAAAAAATAAAACAACAGCATCCTCTGCCCCGCGGTGCAAAGACCTGGCTCCTCTTGGGCGAAAGGTCCCTCGCTGCCCAAGAGCCCTGTCTCCCCGTTCCTGGCCGCGGGGAGCGGCAGGAAATCGGGGCAGCTGCCGGCAGCTGCTGGCAATGTCTCGAAAGCCGCGGACAGGGTCACGGCCTCTGCCGCGCTCCCACCGCCGTGTCCCCGAGGTGGCGTAACCCGGGGAGGGGGGTGCTCATGGGCTCATAGCCAGCCTCTTCCTTTGCTCCCACCTGTCATTTTTACTTTTTCTTTATTTCTTTGATGTCCGCCCTTCCCATCCCCTGTAGCTGGAGCAAGCGAGTCCCTAAGGACGGGGCAGGTTGCCCACGCGAAAGTACGGCAAGTTTGAACCCCAGGAGGACATCTTCTGCCCTCTGCCCCTGAGCCGGGCGTTCCCAGTGCCGCACTTCTCCTGGGGCTTTCGACGAGCTCTAGCTACCGAGCTGGCATCAGCCGGGGGCTGCGCTGCGCCCTCATTCCGCACCCTGCGGAGCGGGGGCGGTGGGGAGAGGGCTCCGCTCTCCCCCCGAGGAGCCACACTGGGAGGCGGAATGAGCCTGGGAAGGGCTCGACTTCAGGGAGAGGAGACCTGGGGAAAAGGCTTTTAAGGAAATTCTCCCTCGGGGATGTAAGGGGAGGAGAGGATGGAAGGAACGGAACCCCTCTTTGCCCCGGTAGGGAGAGCCCTATCCGCACACGCAGATCAGATCTTCGCGGTGCAGCAGGTGCCTCTGAACCCCTTCGCTTCTTCCCCACTCCGTCCCTGGGAGCAGCGCCTGAGGGAGCCCACAAATACCACCTTAATAGCCGTAATAATTAAAAACAACAACAAAAACCCCCTTCTGCCTGGCCTTAATGATCCTTTACACACATTCCCCACTCGCTCCCTCCCCCGTCCCCCCAGTGAAGGGCAATGATTATTCGCACTCCTCTGCTTGCCGAGAGCGGAGCCTGATGAAAGGACTTTATCCTCGAGTGACTCCATCGCTTGCTCCTCCTCCTCTCCCCAGCCCGCCGGCCGCCTCGCTTCGCTCTCAGCCCTAATTGGGCTCTTGCTAATATGATTAAAGCCCAGTTAAATGTTTCTTGATAAATCTTGTCAAGAGAGGATCCCCCCCCCCCGTCCCCTCCCTCTCTGTCGGTTGTCAGAAGCCCGGTTATAGACAGGACATGCCCGGCTCCTGCTGTTCATACTCTGGTGGGAAGTTGGCATTTCACAATTGTTCCTTTAACAGGGTTGTTTTGGAGCCGCTCCTGGGGATCGTTCTTCTTCAGGCCGGGCTTGCTGATAAGAACCGCCCGTGGCTTTTATGTAACACGTTAGGATTTGGTCCTGGTCCCAAAATCTCACTGTTTCTTTAGCCTTTTATTTCATACCGACCCTCCCCCCCTCCTCCTTCTGCTCTTGGTAGCCTGTTCCCGGAAAGGCTCTTGCTCGATGCGAGTCGGCCGGGCGCGATCGCCCATGTAAAAGCCCCGCAGGTCCCGGTGGAGCTGCGCGGGGGCCGAAGGTGCGCGCCGAGCGCTGGCTCCGCATCGACAGCCGCCACACCCGCCCCCCCTTCCCGGGAAAATTCCCGCTTCCTCGGCTCCTCTCTCCGCTCTAGGAGCCCTCGCGAGAGGCTCCCCCGTTGCCGCCCGTCGTTGTGCGAGGCGCCCCGGCCCCCCAGCACAAGTTTTGCCGCTGCGCTCGCGGCTGCGGGCGCACTCTCAGCCCTTCACCTGCGTCTGTTTTCTTGTGATTACACTGCAACTGGACTCGGGCATTAGACCACATCCCGCCCCCGTTATCATTTGGGGATTCTGGTTGAATTCGTAGGAATTAGGAACCCGCAGTTGGCGGTGGAGGGGAGGATGGTTCCCCGGGCTTCGGGCATCCCTGCGACCGGCCACGGTCTTGGCGGCGCTGCCTGGGCTGGCTCGCCTCGCCGTTTTGAGGGGCTCGTTTGGTGGGGCTGTTGGCTTACTCTCACTTTGGTTTTCAGTTTTCTTTGGGGGTGCAGATGTTCGGCAGAGGCTTTTCGAGGGCTTTTCGTGGCTGTTGCTTCAGCCTTAATGGCCTTGGAGGCTGCAGGGGGTGTAGTTGTTGGAGGGGGGGATGGGGACAGGCTGTTTGACCCTTTGTCGAGCCGTGAAGCCACGGTCTGGAAGCTCTTCGATCCAGGGCTGGAAGTGGTATTTCCCGATGGCACACCTGGCCCTGGTTACAGCCCGCGCCCCTCCACGGTAGCCCGTGCCCCGCATGCGAGCGGAGGGCTGCTGCCACACAGCTTTTCCACGGGAGACACGCACTGCCTTCACCCATTGGGAAACAGGGACATAGGTCGCCGAGGGACACGGACCGACTGCCCTGGCGAAGAGCCCCCGAATCCCTCCCGCTCGCCACCGTTTCAGCCCCTTCAGCCCCTTCGCTCCCGAGGCTCGCCCGGGGACAGGCGGCAGCGCGCTGTCCGTCCGCCCTCGGGGCCGCCGGTGCGGGGACGTGCTGGACCGCGGGAGGCAGCAGAGGAGGAAGGTCAAAACCAAACAAACGAAAAAATCACCCCCAGCCCTGGGGAGCGCAGCTCCAACAAAGGCGCTTGTTCCCTGGGCAGGGGGAAAACCGAGCCAAGGGGTAAAACGGAAATCTACCTCCCCGCCGAGCCCTGCTGCCTCTTCCCGGTGGCAGGAGCCCGGGGGCGCGGGGCTGAGCCCCGGTGGGGCGAGGGGGCGCGGGCAGAACTCCAGAGGGGCCGACAGGGAGGGGGCAGAGCCCGGCAGGGCAGGCGGGGGGTGCGGACCTGCGCCCCTCCAAGGGCGGGCAGGGAGCGTAATGCTGAACCCGTGCAGGGACCCTCGTCCCGAGGGGGGTTCTCTGCTCTCGTTCGCCCTAGTGGAGCGTCGGCCCTCCCCGGGCGAGGTTTCAACCGCGGTTTGAGGATGGTCCTCTCTCCCTACTCGTTCCTTCCTCCCTCCCTTGTGTGTTCCCCCACCGGGGTGGGTCTGGGTTTTTGCGAGACCACAAGAGCCTCGGCCCCTTTGGCCCGGGGCTGTTGATTTACCCGAGCAGAGTCCCAAATAAGCAGCTGTTTGTGCTCTAGCTGGAACGCTGGAGGCTTTCTAAGAATGGCGCTTTTCTTAGTCGAGGTTTTTTTTTTTTTAAATTTAATTTTATTTTTATTGGTACATCGAACCAGCCTACAGCATTGCTGGCGTCTTTCCACCAGGTGTCTGGGGCTCAGAGAAAAATTCAAATTAATCTGAAAATTATGAGACAGTTTCCCTCCCCTTCTCCCAAATAAAATAATTATGAGAGAAAGAATTGGTACAAACTGTCCAGTAAGGGATTCAAGATGGAAACAGAAAAGCACCTTCACCCCACCAGAGTGGTGAGGACCCAGAGGGGCCTTCCACAGGCAGGAAGGAATCAAAGCAGCTGGAAGATGAAATTTGACTGGTTTGAGAACCAGCTTCAGAGATGTGGTTACCACCCACAGCAAGGGACTTGACCTCGTGATCCAAAACATCCCTTCTAATCCTCTCCCTAAAACATAATAACTTGCCCTTCTATATACAAAAAAAAAAAAAAAAATCAAGTACGTTGCACACATTAAACTATTCACAGCTCTCTTGTAGGTATGAGTCTCTATTCCCATTCTGCAGAGGAGTTAACTGGTTTGCTCCAGGGGTCACACTTGTAGCTGGGGGCACTTGCTCAGTCCTGATACCCAGAGCCCACATCACCACCCAGCACTGCTCTACTCAGTGAGGTCCCCCATGAAACTATGCTGTTATGAACTGAGAGAAGGCTATCTGCAAATACAAGGGGCTGCTTTGCGAGATCCAGGAAATACCAATTCTGGATGTTGTTTTAAACCTAAGTATACGGTATGAGGAAACAGACCTGCAACTGGGGGGTTTAGGTGTTAAACTCTCAGTG